CCCCCAAGTCAGCTTCTGCTGAAACTGACCAGCGCTGACTACAGGAAGCCCCAGGCAGAGTTGCTCTGCCCCGGGCTTCCTGGAATCAGCTGCCGATCAGTTTCAGCAGCAGCTGACTTGGGGACGCCTGGGGTTCTTAAGTTGATTCTGTATGTAAGTCAGAACTGGCGGTCAGTTTCAGCAGCGGCTAAATCTGGACGCCAGTTCCGACTTACATACAGATTCAACTTAAGAACAAACCTACAGTCCCTATCTTGTACGTAACCCGGGGACTGCCTGTACTGACAAAATTCTCAGCACTGCACAGGGCAGTCCCTGTCCCCAAGCTCTTACAATCCACATGACTGATGCACAGAAGACAGGACACACTGAGAAACTCAGAGCTGGGAATAATTTAGGGGGTATTTTTTCCACATCATAATTATCTCAAGTTCCTATCTGGTGGGCACCAGGAAAGAAGTGATTTTATGAGAGGATTAGGAGAAAGATGGTAACGGAAAAATCGATGCACTATGAAAGGCAGTGTGGGAGAGTTCTCAGAGATAGGAGTGGGAAAAGAAAACAGTGGGGGGAATGAAGAACCATTGGGTAATGAACTAGACAAGGTCTGAACTGCAAAGGGTTTGTGCAGATCACAAAGTGAGATAAAAGGAGTTTAAATTCATTTATTAGAGGTCCTTGGCAAAGCTGGGCATTCAATACAAATCTGATTTGCAGTCCACAAAGCATCCTTCTTGGCTATAGCACTAATACCTACCTCTTTGCCCTTTTCATCTGTAGACCTCAAAAGGACTGTGCAGGAAGGAAAATGCCATAATCCCATTGTACAGAGGGGGAAGGACACAAAGAGGAATGCTTGCCTGAAGTTACTCAGTACATCAGTGGCAAAGCCACAAGCAGAATTCAAGTCCCCTGACTCTCAGATAATTGCCTTATCCATATACTCACATTGCTCGCCGTGTATGTGACATCATGCATTTTGCTGTAATGCTGGGAGTTCCTTTCCCAGACCTGAAGAAGAACTCTGTGTTGCTCAAAAGCTTGTTTCTCTCACCAACAGAAGTTGGGTCATTGACCGATATTACTTCCCTCAACTTGCCTCCCCATGCACAAGTTAAAATCCCCTTTTTGTTAGGAGCACTTTGTTAAGTGAGTTGTTCTTCCTCTTCAGGAGAGATGTATGAATTATTCTGCCATGACCATTGGTAAGGGAAGGTTTGTGCTGGTCCCAATACAGGCTAGTCTGGCTCTTAAAGACATCCCCTGACTGCAGGCAAGCTGACCGACTCACGAGTGGGGATGTGAATGGACAATCAGTTACCCGGTTACCCAGTAAGCATCACCTTTACTAGGTGATGCTTACAAGGTAATGGTTAACTGGTGCCTGGAAGTAGCCCCTGCATGTGGCCCACCACAGGCAGAGGGGTGCTCCCACCCTGCTGGGCCCACCATGCTGCAGGCTGGGGTGGGAGTCAGCAGCCGTACATAGAGCTGGGAGACAGCAGCAGCCTTGTACAGGGCCACTAGAACTGGCAGCAACCCCATGCAGGTGGGTGGGCGAGAGAGCCAGTGGACCCCCCCCCTCACCAGGTCCCTAGGCAAGGAAGGGAGTGCCAGTTTCACCATCCCAAGGGTGGGGCCTTAGAGGGAAGGAGTGGGGCCAGGGCAGTCCGCTCTCAACGCTGACCATCCCCTCTCCCAGTGCTGTCCAGAGAGCATCACCCTGGGATCTGCAATGTACTGTGCAGGGCTCCAGTGGCAATTTAAAGGGCCTGGAGCTCCGGACACCACCACTGGCACCATAGCATTGGTGGCCAAGAGCTCGGGGCCCCTTTCAATCACTGGGCTCCTGAGCAGTTGCTCCCTTTGCCCTCTCCTCCCCATATCAGCAGACCAGCCTGACTGCAATAGAGAAGAGCAGCAGCAACGCACCGCTACTCCCTATGGCTGGTTGGTTCTGTTCCTGGCAGAAAGGGACTGAGTAACACACAGCACCATGCTACTTTGGATCCTGCCAGGAAATGAACCTCCCAGACCTAGACCGTTTCCTCCACAACCCACAGAGTGAGCAGACAAGTTGCCCCCTAACACTCTGCAGATGTGGACGTTGAACAATGCAGGAAGTTGTGTTGCCATGAATCTAGCCATACTCTGCAGGCCCTATCAGACCTGGGGGCTAGGAAGGCCATTTGGCCCAGACCTCAGGAGACAGAGGCCTCAAATTTTGTCATTGTTTACAAGTCGTTTCCATTTATTATACATCTCGCAGTTATAACAGAGACAACAAAAGAAGCTATATATACCTGCAAAAAATGATTTAAATCATTGTGGGACTTCAGGCCTTTGCCAATTTTTTGGACACATCCAACTTTTAATCTGTGTGACTAGAGACTGAAGTAGCTTCTGTGATTAGTGTTGCAATCTTTGTGGAGTTTAGATGTTTTGAAAATTGTAATTAATTCTGTTACTGTAAAGTGATTTTGCTTGGTTTGAGGGTGAGTTTAACTTTTAAATTAGATATTTATCTCTGCATAGGAGATTTTCATATTGCTGTTTTTTCTTACATTTCTTCATATACAATAACCATATCAGGCTCAGTTGTAAGCTACCTCTTCATCCAGTTTTAGATTCACTTTTAAAGTTTTTTAGAATTAAAAGTTTTTTAATAAACTTTATAGCTCATCTGGCAATTGCCTCATGTTCATATTCATAATAATGCACCCATTATTAGAGGAATTTAATCATGGGAACATGATAGAAGACCAAATTTCAAGACTATGAAATAAGGCTACAAAGGCCATAGTAAATAACACGCCCAAACTATTATTATATAATATTCATTGCAAAGTATATACAATTAAAATTTTGTATAACCAATAGCCTTTAGTAAATTAATTTGTTACGTGTTACTGTGTTTTAAAAGAACCCCTTTAGAAAAATGAAGTGAAGATTTGAAAGTGGTGCAAGAGATCGTGAAAGCAAACAGAGTGAAGAAGCAGTTAAGAGTGTAAAGACAATAACATAGTAGAAAAGATGCCTCAACCATTGAACAATGACCATACTGACAGTGACATTTCCAGTTCTGATGATGAAAACTTTGTACCCACTGCCCTAAAATGAGGTCATTAGTAAGACACAGAAATGCTAACCATAGTGATAGATGCAGAATCTATACTCAATTTAGAGACTATTCAGGCAGAAAATGAGGACCTCAGAGATGCTATGCAGCAAGAGCAAGAACTTATGACTAGCACAAGACAGTGTAACAACAGTGGCGTCAGAACCTTATACTGGACTTCTTGATAAGAACAGTGTTGCTTAAATGCAGTCATTTCTCAGAGTTAGTTTTCAGATTCCAAGTAATATACTGAAAGATGCTGAAAATCATGCTTTTCCCACTCATCTGATGACAAAACCTCTTCCAATTGGAGAGATCTACACAAGAGACTGGTTCTGCTGGAAAAGCAGGCTCTGTACGGTTTTAACAGTATAGTTTAACAATAAAACTTCAAATGCACCAATACTGTCTGATCCATCCAGTTGGAGCATCAATAAAGGTTTGAGAAAGTTGAAAGACCAAATACCAAGATAACTATGTTACATGGAAATCAGCTAGTAGAGCAGCACTAGCTGACAGTTCAATTGAAAACATACTCCTGAGTGAAATAAACACTGAAACTGATAACTGGAAAAAACTCCTTGAACGAATATTGTACGTCATTCTTTTTCTTTATGAATGGGGATTGGCTTTGTTTGGTTCCAGTCAACATATTGGTGACCTTACAAATGGAAACCTTCTTGGTACACTAGAGCTTCTTAGCAAATATGACCACTTTTATCAGGCCATAGTAAGAGTGTTCGTGAATCACAAGACATTGGAAAAGGCATGCAAGTCCATTATCTGTCTACCAGAATACAGAACGAATTTATTGAGTTGTGTGGTACATTTGTACAAACAACAATTCTTGAAGAGATACGACATGCGAAGTACTTTTAGATTATTATTGATGCAACTCCAGACTGTTTTCATAAAGAATAGATGACGCTGGTTGTCCAATATGTTAAAATTGCAATAAGTTCAAAGGTTTCAATTGAAGAGCGATTCATTTTGTTCGATAATTCCACACAAAAAATGGAAAAGAAATCACCGCTTATGTATTAGAAATTCTGAAAGGTTTCAAATTAAATTTAAATGTTAATCAAATTAAAGTCTGCATTGGCCAAGCCTATGACAATATGGCTGGGAAGTACAATGGAGTACAAGCAATCCTTCTTGAGCAAAATCCAAACTGTATTTTCTCCAGTTATGGCAACCACACACAAAATTTTGTTGGTGTTGATTGCCTTGAATCATGCAAGGGAGCAATGACATATTTTGGAACAATTCAGCAATTGTACTACCTCTTCAGTAGCAATCCTCAAATGTGGGAATTTCTGAAGCAGCATCTGCCTGTTTCCCTTCATGGCATGTTGACAACGAGATGGTCAACATGAATTGGTGGTGTTAAACCAGTTGCACAACATTTGGACTCTGTGAGCTTGAATCTCTTACTTTCACAGCACAGGCTCATACTAACTTAAGTCAATTTAGACGTATACATCCACATTTGAATCCATTTAATGTTGTCCATATGGATGAAGTTGCTAAAAATGATCCACAAAACTAATCTTGTAATTGAAGCCCACAATTCTACATTAGATGTTGAGAGGGATAACACTGAACAACTTCTTAAAGATAATCAAAAAATTTGTGACCAATGGGATGCAAGCCTTTCTGACTCCAAATCCGTAGCACAGGGTATTGACATTTCATCTGAGTTTTCCACCAATCGCAGCTTAACATCTCAAGCTGATGCTGAAAGTCACTATCGAGTCAATGGTTTTTTTTGTTATTATTTTGTGTCAAATCTGGTGGTTGAGGTGGTGAAATAATTAATAGTTTTGGAATGGCCTTTTTGCATTAGTGGTTGAGGATTCAGCCACAGCGGGCATTACCTTTGGATATGCTTTTTCCTTTAGTAGTTTGAGATGATAGGGTCCGGTTGAGACCAGTATTATGTTTTGATATATATAACCTTGTTCTCTCTTTGTTCTGTAGCCTAGGAAACCAGATAAGTATGGAGGTACTCTACTTTGCTGTGTTTCTTGCTTATCCTCATTGGCTCTGCATAACATCTTCAGAGTCAACCTCTTTGTAATTTCTGTAACCTGGTAGTTTGTAGTATAGGAATTTGTTGATTTAATTAGAAATTATATAAATAGTAATTAGGGGCGGGTATAATTGTATTAATTGTTTGCTTATTAATATTAATTTTATGGGAGTTAACATTACTAAATAAGGTTTTAGGAAAAGTAGTGATAGGCATGTGAATTAACATACTAAAATAGATAAACGGTTTTGACTATTGCCAATTCCGGGCCACTCCGATGTGTGTTGAATGTCCAAGGTAAATGTGCGTAGGCAATAAAGCAGTTCCTTTTTACCCCATCTGCTCCTGGGTCACCTGTTTCTTTTCTAACACTGGTCTTACACACTGATTTGAGTCACTGCAACAAATACGTACCTTTTTGGTTTTCATTGGGAGTTCATAGAACTAATGATGAAGATCTATATTCAGCAGCTGAACAGTTTCAACAAAGGTACAACAATGAAATTTCAAAAGATCGCTGTGACAAGCTTGTCTTCCTGAAATGTATACATTCCACCAACTTTAAATCGGTCTGCAAGCCAAAAGAACTGCTTCAAGACATATTTCATCTCGGCCTGACAATTGTATTTCCTAATACCACAATTGCATTACTTATTTTTGTCAGTCTCCCTGCATCAGTGGCTTCAGGTTAACGTACATTCAATGTGTTAAAACAAGTAAAGAATTATCATCATTCTACAATGGGACAAGAACATTTGAATGGGTTCACAATGCTTAATATTAACAGTGATGTTGCATGTAAATTAGATTTGTCTTCAATTATAAACAAGTTTGCACACAAAAAGCCAGAAAAGCATTCTTAAAATGAAGAGTTTTGCTTTTTGTGGAAACTCACAATTCAAGTTACATTTTTAATATACACACTATTGATATAATGACTTCATTGTTAATAAATAAATGCCTCAAGTGTTCATTTTCATATATTCTTTTGGTTTTAGTATGACCCCCCTGTGGTTAGATATGTTGGGGGGCTGGGGCCTCTAAACTCAAAGTGGCCCGGGGCTCTGTCATTCTCAGA